CCTCAGCCTCCTAAGCAGCTGGGACTAGAGGCGCCTCCCACAACACCTGGCTGTTTTCTTATTGCAGTTGTAATTGTTACTTAGCTGTCCCAGCCGGTCTGGGCTCGAACCCACAAGCCTCCGTGTATGTGGCTGGCGCTATAACCACTGTGCTATGGGCATCAAGCCTCACCCCGCTATTTTTTAGAGGCAGGGTCTCACTTTAGCACAGGCTGGTCTCCAAATCATGAGCTCCAGCTTCCACTCACGTCAGCCTCCCAATGTGCTGGGATTACAGGTGTGAGCCACTGCTCCCGGCCCCTAAAGCGTCCACTTTTTCTATATCCTTGACAAACTTTTTTCAGTGTTCTTTGTGAGTATGATGTAACACTTCATTGTGATTTTCCTTTGCATTTCTCCAATAATTAATAATTTAAGGATCTTTTCAAATGCTTGTTGGCCATTTTTTAATATTTCTTCTTTGAAAAATGTGAGTGAACTCCTGTCATCCACCTAGTTCTGCCCCCTAGAGAATTAGGATTACAGACATGAGCCACTCCTCCTTATCTCTTTTGAATTTTTTGAAGTAGGTCAGCTCACATCAGTCAGTTGTGTTTGTAGCGTTCTGCCTATAGAGGGTGTTCCAAAATTTGCCAGACATAGATGCATGGGGAAACTGGGAAATTGTAGCTAAATGTACCATTACTTACGAAATATTCATAACATAATACTCCATTATATTTTTGTGTCAAATTAAAAATATTAAAAATATAAAATCTGTTTCCTATCTATAAGTCACTTGGGACACTTACTGTATGAAAGTATTCAACTCTGTATATTTTAAGACAATGAGAAAAAAAGGTAAATATAAATGAAGCCTGTGTGTACTGGCAATTTCATTTTCTTTCTGTTTGTTTACCTATATGTTAGTTACTTTTCGTTTGTATATAGTATATTTTCTCTTGGTTGCTCGCCAATGTTTATTTTAACCTGTAGGTGAATTCTTATTAATGCTATCTTAATATTAACACATATTTATTGGTGACTGTGATACTGGAGTTTCGTCTTAAGTAGATTCTTGGTCTGGTGATTTGAAGAATGAATCCACAGACCAAAGATCAGTGGTAAGACAGGATTTATTTACAGAAAAGAATACAAAAAAATACCAGCTGAGAGAAGCCAAGTCGGGATTAAAGCGCTCTTCCTCTCTCTGTGTTTCTCTGGTCTCTTTATCCAGGGGTATATTATATATATATTATACCCGTGGACATGAGCATACCCACTAGTTGCGTGTGTCCTCTGTAGTACATTTAGCTGGGCTCCATAGTTACCTTTAGCATGCAGGGTATTTAGGGTCCTTTGTAGTTACATTTAGCTGAGACTACATAGCAAATGAATGGCTACAATCGCTTCAATTCCCAGGCCTAGGAAACCTACATGAAATTGAACAGGTTTAGGAAAGTGGGGTTCCCTCTTCAGGGGCAAGTGCAAGGGGAGGGAGACCTAAGGTGCTGCTGTGTATCTTATATATATGGAAAATAATAAAAAGGAATTATATGCTTCTACCGAATAAGCCCTTGTATTATTATTTTGTATTCTTTACTTTTTCTGGAAATTTCTACTTAGAGTATATTTTATGAAATAACACAGGTTTAGCCTCAAAATATATTGTGCCCTGGCTGGACGCAGGGGCATATATCTGTACTGACAGCTATCTGGGAGGCTGAGATGAGAGGATGTCTTCAGCTCAGGAGTTGGAGATCAGCCTGAGTAAGAGCAACACCCCATCTCTACTAAAAATAGAAGATAAATTACCTGACTATCATTACAGACACCATTAGTCCCTGCTTCTCAGAAGGCTAATTCAGGAGGATTGCTTGATCCTAGGAGTTTCAGGTTGCTGTGAGGTAGGCTGATGCCATGGCACTGTAGCCTGGGCAACTGGGTGAGAGTCTGTGTCAACACATGTGTGTGTATATGCACATACAGTCTCACACATGTATACATATACACATCTTATTATGATAATCTCCCTTGCTCTCATTTGGTGAATATTTCAATTAAATATCTTTCTCTCCTGCAATTTTTTTTTTTTTTT